ATATAGTTTGTTTCCAAGTACATGCATTTTTTATGCCATTTCCAATTCTCCCTTCCTTCACCATGAAATTAGATAGCACAAATTCCTGACATGGATGTCAGTATGAGTACCTGGTGGGAGCATCTCACCGAATGCTTGTCCCAGCCATCATCCAAATCCTTCTCTGCAACAATATCCCTGCATACTCTGGGGACACCATCTTCCTTGGCCATTGTCCACGAAAGTGAGCAATTGCAAACCATCAACCTCACCCTATCACTATGCCTGCTCTCAGACCAAACTCACGTGCCACTTCATACTTTGAACAATATACTCTGCAGCTCAGGGACACCTATGACTTGCATGCTTTTGCAGGTCTCTTTATGCACAGGGACATTGGCATCTTATGCATCTGCACAGGACTCTTAGCTTGCCCTCTCAGAACTTACTTACTTTGTGCCTACTTCAAGGCTGCTGACTCTGTCTACCTCATACTATCTGTCTAGCACATACTGATTTCCAGGCTTCCAGCCTCCATGTGGGTTGCATTGCTTTCTGAATGTCCTTTAGTACTCAGTTACAGGCTGCCAGCCTCTGTTGCTCGTATTGATTTTTGGTGATGGGGAGAGGCAGCAGATTGTCACAGTGCAGAGCACTGAACAATCAACTGAATGGATGTGTTGCTATGAGGCTCCATGTTACATCAACGTTATACCTGCAGCATATACCTGCAGTTACTGAGCAGGAGAAGCACTGAATTGCTCCCAGTGGGTGAATCGGAAGTATTGAGGGTAGCTTTTGAGAATGAGGTTGGTATGAGCCGTTGAATGGACATGCAATAGTGGGAGTTGTAGCCCAAAAGCATTGGTGACATCTGTGTGTTGTGGCAGTTTTAGAGTAAGTGCTGATCCTCTGAGTGCGAGGTAGCAGAGAGAAGGTGATGGCATTTATCCTTGTGGATTGTTGAAGATCAGTGAGCTTCTGTCTACCCTACTGGGCATCCCTCCTCATCTGGGACACAACACTGACCTTGGGTGCTATTTGGGTCAAGGCTTGCCTGGTTTAGTGGCACAGCTTCCTATTGGGATCGACTGACGAAGGGGTAACCTCGTCGCCCACAACTAATTCCATGTCTGCAGACAGCAAGATTTGCTTTCCTCTGGTCCATAATGGTGGAGCACCATCAGTTGATGACTAGTTCCTGACTTGCAGCATCTGAAGTGGTGTGCAGTTGGCTTACCTGCACTGTGAACACCACAAGATCACAGCAGTGACAAACTTTCCCCCTCTCCTGCCACATAATTCCAGAGATGGAGCCAAAAAGACCAGTTGCATAATTAAAGTGGTGAAGAGTGGGAGATTGTGTGTTAAAAGGCACTTCGAGCCATGCAGACCAAGTGCCATGAATCTCTCTTGACAAAACACTGAAAATGGGATCATTTAACCTGGACACTTCTGTGCAGTACTAAGACAATACTACACTGTCAGAGGTATACAGGAATGTAGAAATATGTGTAGATTCTCTAGTCTCTTTCAGATGAGACATTAAACTAAAGTCCCACCTACTCTCGATGATGGATCTTTGAACAGCCCAACGTACTTCATAAATATCAGGTCTCTTTATCAATTTTATTTCACAATAAAACAGATTAACTGATGTATAATAGTGTTGGATTTTCCAGTGGTAAACGGCTGCTGCCTTAGATTATATATAAACAATATTCAGAATAAAAAAAACTTGCTTGACTGTGAATTGCTTTAGAACATCTTAAAATTATGGATTGTGCTAAATAAATTAAAGTTCTCTCTTCTTGATCAGTCAAAAATATCAACACATTGGAATGATTGTTTTAAATTAACCCACAAGCAAATGTACCCATTGCTGTTAAGGCAAGAAATCCTATTCATAAATAGATATAATTAGCATTTGGTATATTGGTGAGATTAAGAACTACAATGGGAAATTCTGCTAAACATATCTTTTACAGAGTATGACATGACAGCATTTATGCTTTGGCTTTATTTCTTCCACAAAATGCTGCAGCCTACGTTATTAAAAATTGGATGATTATAATGATGTGGAATACACAAAATTATCATGTAAGTATGTGCAAATCAAATCTGGTTACTTTCTGCTTAGGCAAGGACAGGTCCGTTGGCTTAGCTTCACAATGTTTATGAAGATCAGTGCAGGTATTTGCATGTTATAGAGCAGTATGTGGACGTTGGCTAGTCACAACTTTCTTTCTTTCCACAAAGTTATCTCAAAGCATGGGGACTGGATCTTGTTTATTAGCAGAAGGAAATTGGAAACTTTTGGAGCCTTTGTTTAACTTTAGCTGCAAAGTGAAGAAAAATCACTTGTTACGTCATCTGCCATTTTTAAACAGTCGGAATAATCTGGTACAATCCCATGACATCAATAACTCCTTGTAGTCAAGTAATTTGACATGAAAATTTGATGCCATTGGCCCCTTTAATTGGCTGGTATTCTTTTGTCATGAAAATCATGGGGCAGAGTTTTCTACTACAATTGAATTTGATGCTTCAAGCAATTCATAACAACATACTTGATGCCAGACTGATCCAAATCATATAGTATACCAAGAATTTGGTTAATCTTAGACAGGAAGCTCAGAAGACTACTGTCATGAGAACTTGCTGCATACCTGAAGCTTCGCCTTTGACATTGTCCAATTATCCTTTCAACTTTGAATGACAAAACATCAATTAACAAAATAATAATAAGATATTTTTTGTGTGATTGTTAATTATTCTGTATTGCTCTATGCACTAAGCCCCCAAATGTCTTTTGTGGAGTTTGTGCCAAGATGTCAGCGGGAAATTGAGAAACAAATTTGTTAGGAGATCTCAGATATCAGTAAGAATGATAGGGCTGTAATGGTAAGGGATTTCAACTTCCCAAACATAGACTGGAACCGCCATAATGTTAAGGGTTTGGATGGGAAGGATTTTTAAAAAATTTTTACAAGAAAACGTTCTTATTTAATATGTGGATGCACCTATTAGAAAAGGAACAAAACTTGACCTACTCTTGGGAAATAGGAAAGGGCAAGTGACCGAGATGTCAGTGGTGGAGAATATTGGGGCCAGTGATCATAATTCTACTCGTTTTAAAATAGTTATGGAAAAGGATAGAACCTGAACTAAAAGTTAAAGTTTTAAATTGGAGTCGGGCCAATTTTGACTGTAATAGGCAAGAACTTTCAAAAGTCGATGGGGAGAGGCTATTCATAGGTAAAGGGATGGTTGGAAAGTGGAAAGCCTTCAAAAATGAGATAACAAGACTCCAGAGGCAGTATATTCCTCTTAGTGTGAAGGGCAAGGCTGGTAGTTGTAAGGAATGCTGGACGAGTAGAGACATTGAGGTTCTGGTCAACAGAAAGAAGGCCAATGGCAGGTATAGACATCTGGGATCGAGTGAATCCCTTGAAGAGTATAATGACAATAGGAGTATACTCAAGAGAGCAATCAGGAGGGCAAAAAGGGGACATGAGATAGCTTTGGCAAATACGGTTAAGGAGAATCCAAAGAGATTCTACAATTACATTAAGGGCAAAAGAGTAACTAGGGAAAGAATAGGGCCCTTAAAGAACAACAATGTTGTCAATGTGTGGAACCGCAGAAAGTGGGTGAGACACTAAAGGAGTATTTTGCATCAGTACTTACAGTGGAGAAGGATATGGAAGCTGGAGAACTTGGAGAAATAAATAGTGATATCTTGAAAAGTGTCCATATTACAGAAGAGGAGGTACTGGATGTCTTAAAGCTTATAGAGGTGGGTAAATCCCTGGGATTTGATAGGTGTATCCAAGAACTTTATGGAAAGCTGGGAAAGTGATTGATGGGTCCCTTGCTGAGATATTTGTACCATC